CTGTAGTTACTGTTCCCTCTGCCTGGTATGTCATGCCCTAAGATTACCTGCAAGGTTTATTTATTCCCATACCTCCTTCAGGTCTTTACTCAAAGGTCTTATCATATTGTCAATGATGTCTTTTCTGCAAGCCAACACTTAACAGCAACGGTACCCCCCCCCCTTCCCATTTCTACTTTGCTTGTGTGTGTGTGTATAAAACTGTTTATTATGGAATTTTTCAAGCACACACAGGAGTAGAGAATAAAAGAAATCTCATGTATCTAACATCTACCTTCAATAACTTTTAACATGACAATCTTGTTTCATCTATGAGCCTCCAAATTCTTCTAAAGCAAAAATCCAGACATCATGTTAATTTATAATATATTACTATATATCTCTAAAAGGTAAGGACTCGTTTAAAATCCATAATACATTAGCAACCCTAAAACATTTAACAGTATGTTTTCATCAATTATCTAGTTAGTGTCCACATTTCCACAATTTTTAATAAACACCTTTTTATAGTTCATGTAAAGCAGAATCTGATGTACCCCGATACACTGCATGCTTATTAAGTCTCTTCATTGTATAGTTCCCCCTCCCATTTCTTGAAGAAACCAGGGCATTTGTCCTTAAAACAAGGAATATTTTACTTATTTTTATTGTCTGTCTTGTATTAGAATGTAAACACTATAGGGCAGAGGTTTTAGTCTATGGGAGATCAGTATCTAGAACAGTGCCTGACATGTAAAAGAAGTCTGATAAATACTTACTGAATGAGTATTTGGTATTCATGCCAAAAGTCCATTGCCTTTCTAATAGCAGAAATTCCTAATCACTGCACTCTCCCTGTCTTTCCGAACTAGGGTACCCAGCTTTCTAAACTTAACACTGTTGGCAGGTACCACAAAACAATCGTATTTGGTACCCAAGGTGAAATTTACCTGTTATCTCAGCTTTAGTTCCCTTTCAGAATAAGAGTAAGTTCCATCTTCAAAACAGAATGCAATGAGCTTTGTATATAGAAATTTAGGTGAAAATTAGCATAATAAAGTAGTAGCAGTAATTTTAAATCAAGTATGTTTAAACAGTTCTTAGCTTATTTTAGACAATTTAGGGGGAAAAAAAACAAACCATGCCAAAAAATAAGAGAAAAAGAAACTGCAGAAGATGGTGGGGTTAACGACATATTTTTATAATTAACAACATCCCAAGAGATCCATTATAAAGTAAAAATCAGCAATAAATTCCTTGAAAAGGAAGTAAATTACATATGTATTGAATTTAAAACTTAAAAAAATACTCTTATGACTGGTCAAGATTTGTGGGGGGGGAGGGGAGAGGATGGTGCAAATATCAGGATTTGCTCATTTATAGGTACAACAACATTCTATTTTTCTAGAAATAGTATTTTTGAGGTATAAAACTATAAGAACCAAATAATGAGTACTACACACAACTCTTTTTCTGAAATAAATTTACTATGGCAAAAGAAGAATCTGAAACATACAACATTCTGAAAAATAAATCTAATTTTCTTAGGTTCTATCACATTTCATTTTTCTTAAATTACCTGATGAAGCTCATTCGTTTTACTTCTGAAGAAAGCTATGCTGACTGAAACATGTTCACATGTTTCAATTACTTATTTTTTAAAAAAATCTGGGATTCCCTAAACATTCATTGAAGAATTGTACTTTCTCTTTATTACCTGCAAATTCATTTGTCAACAACAAAAATTATGCGGGATCTACCAACCTATTATATTATGCATTTATTTTCAACCCTTGGAAGGAAAAAATACTGTAAAGTGGTCTTTCAAGATAATATGAAAAAAGCCAGTGGTAGAACTTGAAATTATATCCAGATCTTTCACTGACCAGTATTTTTCTTGTCTTGAGGTTCCTGCATATTAGTCCCAGAAAAATTTTCTCTGCAGAGGTCAAACTTAAAGAAAAAAAAAAAAAACAAAAACAAAACAATAAATTCCTCACTATGCCACATCTGTTTAAAAAAAAAAAAACCCAATCCCTTGAAAGAATAATTTGTTTACTTTTCCCATTTGATATATTTAGAGGGAATCTGGAAAAGAGGGCTAGAAATCTATAAACAGAAAGTGCTAAGTGGAATTCACTGTTTAGATGTTAGTTAAAATTCTGTCCCTTTATATAATGCTGCCAGGAATCTTTAATATTTTACACTTTAAAAACATCTTCATCAGGTTTACTTCATTCTGTTGATCTTCCTCCTTTTTCCCACAGATCCTTAAATGTGTTTCAACTCCTTGACTGAAAAACATAATGGTAACTTTGGGAATAGCATGGTTTTTCAAAGAAACTCCTAGAACCATCTCAGTGCAATCACATTATTTGTCACTGTGAAATTTTATTATACTATATATGGTTAAAACACACATATTAAGATAATTCATATAAAGTTTTCTGATTTAACTAAGTAATAACAACTATTGATGTGCCATGGCAAGATGAGTGGATGTATAAGAGATAGTTTTCAAATCTAAGTCTTTGGGTTAAAATCTTTACCATCTACAGAGGCTTCTGTCTGAAAACATTAGATGTTCATAAAGCAGGACTACTACAGTCTTATCATCGGACAACCTACTGGACAATAAGACATACTCTGAAATGACAGAACTCTCAATGTACAAGTGATGTTCTGACAATCTGACAGGAGGCTGAAACAAATGGAAACATACTTAGGCTTTCTCTTGAAACCTGCCTCAGTACCATTCAGCATTACTAGCTAGACTCAGTTCTCTGCCCTGTACTTTTCAATTTCCTTTAAGCGGTCCCAAAGAACCAAGGAAACTTACAATGCCAGATTTCACCAGTCAACACTAATTTTTTGCTTTTGGATCCAGTGATTGGACAAAGACATTGTGTTAGTGACTTCTTTACATATGCCTCTGTTAAATCTGGTTTGTAAATGCTACAGAGAAAGTTCAACAAAAACAAGGTCACTAAAATGATAATTTTAATGAGAGCATAGATCCCCCCCTTAGTATCTGCTACTCAGACACAATTTCCAGCTCACTTTTTTAAAATTAATATATAGAATTACTATTATATTACAGCACTTCTATAACACTAACAAAAACCTAGGTGATGAGGCACTATAATCACTCTACTAGTGCAACTTTCCATACACTTAACTACTCCATTTTCTAATTGTTTTAAATCAAGATCTCTTTTAACATACTACAGAGAGAGGAAACTGGTTAAAGGATTGGGGGTGGGGGCAGAAAAAAACATTTTTTTTTAAAGTCTCACTTTCCTTTTCTGATAGAACCACCACAATCTAAAAAAATCTGGGGACAACTATATAACACAAAATTAAATTCAAGAGAATTTAGGACAAGTGAAAGTACTCACTGTTACCACAGTTCTGATGATCATTCACCTCAGAAAATAACAAGTAAAAATGATGTTTATTTAAATTTTTGGTACCTTCCAATTTAGCTGAACTACAAAATACACTTGTTCTCAAAGTATTTTCTTCCAGAAGAGCTGTTGGTGTGAATAAAAAAAGGGAATTCACAGGCTGTATTTGTGCTATAAAGACAATGTTTTAAGAAATGTAAATCGTATAGCTCAAAACGTTTTCTTAGTTATAAAGAAAATATCATAAACGGAAACAGAGGAACTGAAGAAACTGGAGCTTTTCCTCAATTCAAAAATTTAAATTCACACAACTATGCAAATTAAATTAAAAAACCACTTTATGTTTCTCTTCACTTATAAAACACATACTCTAAGTAGAAAAAGACAATGCCAGCTCTGAAACAAAAGATCAGATAGTGTGAAAACAAAATAACATTTTGCAGAGTAAGAAAAGTACATAATGTTTGAACAAAAACAAACAGATGACCTTTTCATATACTTAAAAGTGTCAGCCCTTAGCACCCAGAACCTTACAGATAATGTGCTCAATAATATTTGCTGATACACTTTGACGACTGAAGGATGGGAAGGTTGTTGGAACTGTTAAAACCAAGACACATTTCCTTGCGTGCAATGATTAAAATCTGTTAAATCTACGTTAAAAACAAAGCTCTGCCCCGCCCCCTCCACCCCCCCCTCCCCGCATCATTTCTCCGTCGCCTAACAGGAGGTCTGCCTGTACAAAAATAAAAGTAGACGGTGAGGTGAGTGTAAGATTTACAGTCTTTCCCCCACTCGCAGCATTTTTCATGAAGTCCTTTGAGGTTTTAATACTCAAAACTATGTAAGAAGAATTACTGTTTGAACTACCTAACAATTACCCAGACTTCTTTCAGACCTAAGTTAACCTGTAAATAAAATAAGCATCTTTAACTTTTCCACGGGGCATTGGAGAGCGAGTCTCTCTCATAAATGCTTTCAGGTTCTCAGACCTGGCAGGCGCAGGGAAGATCGAGCATATCCATCAATTAGGGCGCTCCCCCGGGCCTCAGTTTACCCACAAACGGAACCAGGAGGATCAGCTTGCCTCGAAAGGGCCCCGGAGGTGGAATGAATGTTTTTAAATGTTCTGAGATCCCAAGATGAAAGGAAATGCGAGAGACACGCAGATGATAACAATAATCACAGCCATAAAAAGAATGACTAACTTGAAAGTCTGCATTATGTAAGGAGGGAGGAAGAAGTTCTCAGGATCGCACAAACAAAAGAGGAGCCCACCGCCCCTTTGTGTCTCTCCACGTCTCTCCTCCTCCCCAGCCCCGCGGAGCTCCCCTCGGCCGCCGAGGGGCGCCGGGCGCGGACTCGGGCCTCGCGCCCCGCTCCCGGGCGGCGGGGGAGGGCGCGCCGGGCCGGCTCCTCACAAAGGCGCTTCCCCCGCGAGGGCGCGGGACGCCGGCGCCGCAACTCCGCTCCCGGCCGCCCCCGGCCCGGGCCGCGCAGGCGGGCGGGAGACCCGGCCGCCCCCGGGAAGCCGCCGAGGAAGTTGCCGTCCGCCCTCCCCGCGCCCTCCCCGGCCGCGCCTCGGTCGCCTCCGCGGCGCGCGGCCGCACTCACCGGACGGTCGCCGGCGGCCGGAATCCCAGCGCGGCCCCCGAGCCGCGGCGCGGGGCTGAGGCGGGCGGGCGCGAGGAGCGCGAGCAGACGAGCCGGCGTCGCGCCGCCGCCTCCGCCTGCCGGCCAAGCCTGGCGAGGGGAAGTTGGCCGCGGAGCCGAGCGCTGAGGAGCCGCGGGCGGAGGCAGAGGCGCGGGGCCCACTTGGCGGTGCGTTCCCGGAGGGCTCGAGACGAATCCGATCGCGCGGCACGGTCGGTGCTGCTGGTGGAGGCGGCGGCGGCGGCGGCGCCCCCCGACGGTCCCTCCGCCTCACACCGCCTCTGGGTCACTGACACACGGTCGGCGGGAGGGGAGGGGACTAGCGGGAAGGCGGGGCCGGGGGGAGGGGACTGGGCAAGGCCTCAGCGGGAGGCGGTGACACGGCGCCGAGTGGCCTCTTGGGAGTTGTAGTTCTGGGATCGATGAAAACAGGGCTGCACGGCCCGACTCGCTCGCAGTGCGCATGCTCGGGGGGATTGAGTCGCTTCCACTGTTACTATGGCCTCCCGACACGCGAAGGGAGGGAAGTTGTTCAGCGCTATTGTAGACTGAGCAAGGCCTGTCTTGTACTAAGGTGCCGTTGGGGATCCTGCTCTTAGCTAGTCTTTCCTAGTTAGGTCCACCCCCAATTCCTAACCTCAGCACTCACAAGTGCCTGTTGAAATCTGACTCCCTTCCCATAAATCAATCTTCCCTGCTGCTTAATTTTCTAACAAAACCTGAAACACAAATACGCCTTTGACCCCGCTTCCGTCAAGCCTTAAATTCAAGTTTCTTTACTAAAAATTCGTGGAAATGTAGTTACTTCCTGCAATTTAACAGATTGTGAAGATATTAGGACCATCCTCCACAATTAGAATACCGTAACTAATCTCTTCACTCAGTCACAGCTAACTTTAAAGTCACAGAAGTTAAGGATTCGGATGAGAAGGGCTACATTTTACTTGATCGGGGTAAAAATAATCCAGATTTGTTCACGTCAAGGGTTACAGTGTTTCAGAGACACAAATTTGGTAACGTATGTTAGACAAGTGGAAAATTTCAAAATGTTTACTGTACATCTACTGGCAAACTTTCATTTGACAATGAGAAGTCTGAACCCAGGTCTGCTGCTGGACTGACTGGCAAGGTTTACATCCACACTGGGCACCCAGGCATGAAAAGGTGTTGGAGGAAGGTGGTGAAAGGCAGGATAGCTTATCGGATCTTCAGAAGAGTAAAAGACAACCTGTCCGATGCTCTTCTGTTTTTCTTCTCTGCATACCTAGAATCCCATGACCAAGAAGAAAAAGACTGATGCTTAGAAATCAGAAACACATTTACAGCAGGAAAAGTCAAGGCTTTCAAATAGTCTTAACATCACAAATCCTTATGTCTGCAGACCACATAATTATTGATCCATTCAAAAAACATGCTATTCAAGTATACTGTATCTCAAACACCCTATTAGGTCTCAGAAATAGAGGTACAAGGACATAAAAAGAACATTCTTTGTCTTCAAAGTGCTTACTGTGCAGAGGAGGAGGCAGGTAAATAAATTTAATGTAATAAACACTATAGTAGGAAAATACACCAGGTGCTTTGGATACATAGTGACCCTAGACTCAAGCAAGGTCAGGAAAATCTTCAAAGAACATTTGAATTGAGGATGACTAGGAGTGTGTATTTTGGTGGAGGATGGAGAAGAGACAAGTGAGTGAGAGCCCTGGGGATGGGGGAGGAGGTAGCAAGAACAGAGTCCTAAAGGCATGAGATGAAAGAGTATTATGGTTCAGCAAAGTTCAGCATTGCTGGAGGGAAAATGGAATTGGGGAGAGTGACAGGAAGAGTCATAGAATAAGTAAGGGAGATGGCTTGTATCATGAAGAAACTTGTATAATAGGCTAAGAAATGTGGACTTTTTTTTTCTGGAAGCAATAGAAAGCCATGCCAGGATTGTACAGTGATGAAATTTTGATAAGATATACATTTTAGAAAGATCACGGTATAGAGTATGCTATGAATGGGACCTGTTAAAGTATTGTAGAGAAAAAATAAACACTTGAGTTAAGGCACAGGCAGTGATAGGAGACAGAATTGAGGGCAACTAGGCATTGTATAAGGAATAGAATTAATAGAATCTAGTGAGTAATTGCCTGCATATGGAGCTGAAGTATGAAGGAGGTTATCAGTTATGGTAACTTTGAGTTACAAGCAGTAGAAAACCCAACTCTGACTGACTTAGCCAACAAACCACATTGACCCATCTAGATAGAAAGTCAAGTGGAAAGGTGAACTACAGGACTGAATGATTCAACAGCTCATTAAAATCATTAAGGACGCTTTCTTTCTTGTTTCATTGCTTTTCCTTCCTTAGTGTTAGCATTATGGCCAAATGACAGCTGTCAACAATTCCCGTGGTTATAAATTTCTCTATGTAGGTACAAGAAGAGACAAGAAAAGAGTCACTTTTGGAAGATCTTTTCAGAAGGAGACAAGACTCCATTGAGAATTGACTCATGTCATTACACAAACTAAAAATGGTGGCCATGATTATAATATAAAGTTAATTATTTTAGAATAAAGACATATGCCTGGCCCCTAGACCCAAAGGAGTTGGCTTCTCCCAAAGTTGTGATGAAGAAGTGTAGACATCCCAATGAAAACTGAAGTGATTGTCCACAAAAAGAATAGAGGCTGAGAAGGGGAGGGGGGAAACACAATATCCATTACAAAGAAGGATGGCTCAGATTTCTGGCTTTTGTGATTATGAGTTAGTGATACCATTCACTGAGTTATGAAATACAAGAGATTGAACAGCTTTTGAGGGAGAATTTGATAAATTTGCTTTGGATATGTTGAGCTTGAGATGACTCTGGATATGTAGGTGGAGAGGTAGAGTGGGCAGTTGTATATATGACTCTAGTACTCTGGAGAGAGATCTGAACAGCAAAAGATATAATTAAATTGTACCATCATATAAATGGTAGTTAAATTATGGGAATGGATGAGATCACCTAGGTAGAGCATATAGAGCAGAAAAGGAGGAGTCAGTAGTAATGCAGGTGTTTCTGGGAAGAATAGCACTTAAGGAGCAGGCGGAAGACCACGAAAATATCTGGGAATTAGCAAGAGTACTAGTATATATCAAGAAGTAGAAAATGTAGTCTACAATGAGGAGAAAAGTCCATCAACATAAGCATAAGCAATGTTGATAGAATCAACATTCAACAACATTAAAACAGATATTATAAATATATTCCATTTGCTTAAAGAGGGAAATTAAAGGTAAACCTGGAATTTCTAGATATTAAAATTACAACTTCTGAAATAAAGATTTCAGATGGCACTTGCACAAAGAAGCAGATTAAACACTCAAAAGACAGGATTAGTAAACTTGAAGACACAACAGTGGAATCTAGCAAAAATAAAGCACATAAAGAAAAAAACAAGCAAAATAAAAACAGCACCTGGATAATCTGTGGGATAGTATCAATTAGTCTAATATAAGTGTAACTAGAGATCCAGATGAGAGGAGTTAAGTGTGTGTATGTGGGGGGAGGGAGCACAGTGTAACAGAATTGTTTAAAGTAATATAGCTGCAAATATTTTCATATTTCATGAAAATTATGAAACCATAAGCTCAAAAATCTCAATGAGCAATAAGCTGAATAAATACACACAGTGATAAACACACTCATAAAAACCACAGCAATAAATATCCCTATATTTCTTTGACCTAAGCAGCTATTATTTTATTGCTTGTTTCTTTGACCAAAGCAACTATTATTTTACTGTTTGTCTGCCCTTTCAAATTTAATATATTAAGCTATGACATCATTACAGCAAGAATGTGAATTCTCAGAGGTTTTTTTGATCTCTTAAATTCTAAAAATTATTTGATCTGGAGAAATTTCTCAGAAATTTATAAAATTTTATATAAAATTATATAAAAGTCTGTTTCTACTGTGTCCCCTTTACATACTAGAAACAGGATTTAGGAATATGAACATAAGGAAAAATCACAATGTTGATACCTTTCTTCACAGCATTATGCAGTAAATTTAATTCACTAGTAATGATGCAAAAGAAATATTATTAATTGAAGAAACTGTTGCAAACTAATTTTTCTCCTCTTATGGCAAATGTTTTACCTGTTGCAAATGAACATATCTTTTCATGTTTAGTATAAATTTCTCATATTTTATCCTGACACGTGATTGTATCTTACCATTTCTACTTCATGTATGCTCACAGTTGTGTTTATTTTACTAAATATTCAGCAGACTTCCCTTTGGGATCTGGGCTAGATTACGTATTGTAGTCTTGCTGAGATTCTCACATTTGAGTCTAATAGTCTGTGTGTGTATTCATTGTAATCTTCAGATAACAGGTAGGTTATCTCTCAGAACTCCTACCTTCCAGCCTTCTTTCCCAGATAAAATTATTCTCTTCTAATGTCCTCACAGTCTTCAAATAACTCATAGTCTACATGGAACTTGTTCCTATTTTAAACCTGTGACTACACACGATTTGAAGGCCTCTGCTTTCACTCAGAATATTTGTAGGCCCCAAATGCTGTCTCTGACATTTCAGATATATTTGGAAAATGTCAAAGACAAGTTAGTTAAGATTTCAATGTTTTAAAGAAGTATGCTTGTTCACCAAAAACTGCAGCCTATGTATTCTCGGTATTTGTTCAACCAACATGTATCCAAGCAATTACTTTGGAACTTCAACAAGCATCAGACCTCTCCTGACTCACCCGCTGCTGCCCTTAGCAGTGTATTTGTCATTGCTCCTGTTCTGTTCCTCACTCTGTCTCCGGTGATTTCTCTCACCCCGCCCCCCCAACACCTCTGGCCTGTATGCCAGTTCTTGTATGCATAAATAAATCTTTAAAAAAAAAAACCACAAATACCATATAATGAGAGAAGTGGAAAACTCATGGAGAGAACATTTAGATGTGTCTCCATCCTTGCTGATTCATGTGCTAATGGAATACTTGTACTTTGTACTCAAATTTCATGCCGTCATTTTTTCATCAAATACTGAGCATAAATACTTATGCCCAGCTTTTTGAAAGTTCATGTTATACCACTTCGCTTCTATGAAAGATTTACATTAGTACCCACATTTGCAAACAGAAAGAAATACGAAGAAGACTTTTACTTTTATGACAACAGATAAAAAGTGGAAATAGTACCAAAGGCTATTTTGTGGCAACCCTTCCAGAGAGGGTGGGTATCCTGAGCAGCAAAAGTCAAGCTCTTTTCCTGGGAACTACTTTATAGGGTGTGTATCACATCATT